CACACACACACACACACACACACACACACACACACGCATGCACGCACACACACGTAAATAAATAAAATTTTAAAAAATAAATTAATAAAAAATAAAAGATTTAAAAATAAATAAATACATAAAAATAAAGTGTACCAATAAAATTTGATTAAAACAAAAGAAAATGCCCAAGTTATTTCTCACAGGAGAACAGAACATGCCCCTGATCCTTTTGTGACCTCACCACCACATCAAACAGGAACCTGCAAGCCTCCCACTTTTGTGTCCGACCCCTGGACCCTGGAAGGCTGGAAAAAGGGCCCTGATCCCAGCCTCAGACAACCAACCCATGGGACCTAGGTAGGCTGTGTGGAGGAGGTGGCCTGGGTCTAAGCCTCCCCTTTGCTCTGCTTCCTCCCCTGCCCAGCAACATTCCTCAACAGGCCATCCCTCACAGCATATTAGAAGAGAAAGAGTCACCACGAAGAAGGGCTTTCTGAGGCTACTACTTGTGTAAGGACAGGAGCTAAGAGGAGGGCCCTTGTTTGACCCAGCTGCACAGCACAGGCATGCAGGCTCAGCAGTATGAGGCGCAGAGTCACAGTTTAGCCTCTCTGGGAGAGGCCAAGGCAGGCTTCCAAAAACAATAAGAATAGCATCCCGCAGAAAGGCCAGAACCTTCGCTGAGACCCAGCCCTCGGCCAGTCACCTACAGGCTCAGGTGCTGAACTCCAGAAGGCACCATCCACCCACCTAGAAATGAGGGTGAGAAGTAACATAAACATATATTATGGATCTGATGTTCTGATTTTAGCCTACCTTGAACTGTGAGACAACCATGTGAATACATTAATGAATGAATATAGAATAGATTGAATTACAGTAGTTACTACATAGTATGAAATAACGCATACATGGATTAGAGCAATCTAGGATCACATCAAGTTCGAAATTTAGAATTTAGAAAAGCCCCGGTCTGGTTTAGAGGAACACCTAGACCCGAGATCTAAACTTGCCCTAGAGGAAATGAGGAGTCCCCAGCTCTTCCCCCAGAGGGCCGCCTGAGCATTCCAAAGCCTCCTTGTAGCTGTGCTCCTGTCTGGTAGACCAGGTCTAAAGACCTCTCCAGCCACAAACCCGGGGTCCACAACTCCCAGAATGGTGAGCTGCAACCCAGGCTGAAAACCCTGGTTGGCCAAGAAGGGCCCTGGGCAGTCAGTCGTTTGGAGTTCTAGGGACAAACCCTACCTACGTCTGCCCCTTGTAGGAGGCGCCCACCCCTCTCCCAGTTGGGGGAGGGGCGCGAATCCAGGTTCCCAAGCAACCGTGTCCCGGACCCCTGAGAGTCCAGCTGAATAGAAGGGTTCCGTGGAGAAGACTGAAAGTATTTGTGGTGTGCGGGTGAGGGTAGCTTGATGGTTGCAGCTGGTGATAGGGTGGAGATCTGAGGTTTGGGGTAGGGACGCGTTGCAAGCCCACAGAGAAAAGGACCTGGCCTGAGGTTGAGGTGGGAGCGCTGTGGGCTGATGCCAGAAAGGATGATGAGCTGGGTTTCCTTTTTCCCATCCTCCTGCGGCTCTCTGAACTCTGTTCTCGAAATCTAGACCTAGCTGGGGACGCCCCGTAGCGAGACTCCCAGCACACCCACTCACAAACGCAGGCTCCACACACGCACACCCATATGGATGGGCACAGACATGCTGGACCAAGTCTACCGGCCCTACCCTGAACACTAAGGCTGGGGTTCTGAGGTCAGTAAGGAGCAGGACAGACCCGGGCGTGTGGGCAACTGCCCTGTGACCACCACCGAGGCTGGCTCTGGAGCCTGGGAGCTCAGGTTTTCCCAAACTGTCCCAAGTCGGTGGGGCGGGACGGCAATTTCCACAGCTCTAAGTACTTCTGGAAGTCCCAACTGCTGGACGGAGGTGTCAGACAACACGTGCAAGGGCACCAGCAGGAAGGAGCTGGAGGTGCGTGTGCGGGTGAGGATTGGCCCCAGAGGACATCCTGGTCTCTCCGCAGGAGGGAAGATGCCGCGGCCCGCAGCGAAGGGCACGCCAGAAGCCGGGTCCGCCAAGCAGCGCGTAAAGGGGGCGCCTGAGACGGACGCCCCCAGGCCTGGCTGGGCGCTGACGCTGGAGGGGCTGGCGGCCATGCCCCTCACGCAACGTCGCTACCACCTGCTCTTCAGCGACCTGCTGGAGGACGGGGATGCGGCCGCCTCCATCTTCCCGCGCGAGTCGGCGGAGCTGGCGTACCGCATGCCCGACCCGCGGGCCTGGACGCAGCGGCTCGACCAGCCCGCGGGGTGCGCCAGCCCGCTCCTGGGAGTGCTCAAAGCAGCGGAGGCCCGCGGACGCGTGCGCGCCCTGAGGCTACGCTACATCCGCATGCGGGTAGGCGCCAGGGGCGGGCTGGACTTTGCGAGGGCAGGTGGCGGGCGCGGCTCACCTGCCCGGAACCGTAGGCGGAGGAGATCACGCTCCTGATCCGACATCAGGGCTCGGCGCGCGCTGCCATCCGGCTCGAGCTTTTCCTGCCGCCACAGCTAAAGCCGACGCGGATCCCGGATCCTCTGGACAAGCAAGAGGTGAGGGCAAGTCCTGAGAGGGGCAGAAGGCCCACGTCTCCACACACACTTAGCACCAGCCCTGTCCCTGCAGAGGCGGCACGTGGAGACCATCCTGGAGGAGACCGTGGATGGCAGCATTTTCCCACGGTGACAGCGACCAGGACTATGCAGCTATGCCCCCCCTCGTACATAAAGTTCTCCTCCAAGGGCTCTCTGGTCTTTTCCCTCGCAGTCCCCAGGGCCCCCGCAGAGAAGGGGCAAGTTATGCACACTGATTCTCCTACACCAGCGGTCACGGACACCAGAGACAGTAGTGGGGCCCCCCGACAAAATAAGGAGATGTGAGACGATGGGTGTCAAAGTAGTAGGATGTAGACAGCCCACTTCCCAATCCAAGCCTGTCCTATCCCGTATTTGGTATCCTGGGGGGGGGGGACGCGGGCCCCCAGTGCAGAGGAAGTCAGGAAAACTTGCCTCACACCAGTGCCCACAGAAGCCCACAAAGTCATTTATCCCATGGACACAGTGGCATTCTGGGAGAGATAGTGACTGACTACACAAGCCAAAGATGGCCTTTGGAGAGTCACTACCTGTGCTCAGAGGCAGGAACTAGAGACAGTGGAAGGGGTGCCCAGGAAGGGGACAAAAGACTCACCCTTTGGTCTTCCTTTCATCCTGAATAATAACCTCCTGTGCCCCACACAGCACCCTACTTTCCCCAATACAGAGAGAGAGAGAGAGAGAGAGAGAGAGAGAGAGAGAGAGAGAGGAAACCACCTCATCCCATTCTGACAAACAAGCCTGAGTCCTACAAAACTACTAGACTCTAGAAAGCCCCTGGTTTCTGGGCTGCTCTTACTCTTTTCTCCAGGGTGGGCTCTTTGCAGAACCTGGGGGTCCTCTTGGTCCTTCCAGCCCCTGTCCAGAAGGCTGCATCACTGAGAGCTACAAGGAAACACAACCCCTGCCCCTGCCAAGAGATTCCCACTGGCACTGGAGCAGAGAGCTGATCTGGAGGCAAAGGCTGAAGTCAGAGCTGGGGTCAAGAAAGCAATACAGAAAGGGAAAGCAGGATCTCAAGGACTAACTAATCAAGAGAGGGAAAGG